GGAGTCTTCACGAGGCTCTTGTTCTTGTGCGGATTTCTCCTCGTCTAGCAGTTCGGTATCTGCGGAGGCTAATGTGTCTTGTTGCGACTGTGATGAGGCCTCTGATATGGTTTCGGTGTCCTTTGGTCGTGATTGCGCTGGTGGGGCTTGATTCGGAGACGAAGCAGCGTTGCTGTCCTTGTCTTTCTCGGATGGGGTATTGGTGGGCTGTTGACGAGATGGTTCGTCTTTCGGCTTGGATGGCGGTGGTAGGTTTGCTTCTGCAGCAGGCCCGTATCGTCGATGATAGGTTTCTTGAGTGCGTCGTGGACTGGTGTGGAAGGGAGCGTGCTGGTTGTGGGATGTAAGGCGAAGAGAGCGGTAGGTATGGGGTTCGCAGGATCGAACTGCGCGCATCAGATTTGGGTAAAGGAACGGAAGCCTTGGGGCCGCCATGGTTGCCGCGTTGACAGGAGATTGAGGGAGATGAGGGAGAAGGAACGAGGACAAGACAAGGCAGCCGGTCAGGAGAGAAGAGGGAGATGAACGATGAACGCATCTCGTTTTCCCGCGGCCAAGTCGGCGTCACCGCCGGAAACGTGACGTGGGCGGTGAGTAACCCCCGCGGCCGCTAGGCCCTATCAGGAAGTTTATACATACGCGCGCTCATTGGCCGGTCACAGGTATGAAGATGGTATGAACTGCATTGTCCGATGATGATATGCTTATGATTTATATACATTGTTTCATGCTAATGGCAGCCTGCTTAGTGCTCGGCCCCCACAGTCAAGAGCCCAAATAATAGCTGGGTCCGTTTCCAGTACTCGTGCGCAGCGTTCTCTAGCTTCTTCGTTGCCTTCTCAGGCAAGTCGAGGCTGCTGCGAAGTGTATCCAACACTTCTGCCAATTGGCTGCGCTCAGAGTCTCGAATCGCAAATGCATCGGTCAGGTATACAGTGTCGAAATAAAGCTGAATCCTCCGGTCGTTGATGTCATCGGCATCGTCGGATATGGTACTTTCGGACTTTGGTTTCGCCGCGTCGCCATTCTCGCCATTCTCGCCGTTCTGCGCCGGTTTTGTCTCTTCGTCATCATTCGAGGCAGGCTTCTTGCTGCCCTCTATTTCGGCAGGTGAGTTGAGCTTCTCAATGGAGAATGTGACAGACTCCGAGAGTCCCTTGATCATGGCAGATTTTAGCGTCTGCGTCGTGGAGACATCCCAAAGTCCAGCGCCGTACTGATCCATAGATCGCACAACTTTACGCAGGAATTTGAACGTCGATGGTGTCGGCTGGACAGGGATTTCAGGATCACCCTCCCAAAGCGTGCGACCTGGCACTTTTCCAGACTTCGATTTCGAAGTAGCCGGAGACTTCCAGGAGCCTGTGCGGGTGACTATGTCTGTAGCAAGGATTCTCTGCAAATCCGGCACGATACTCTGGGACAGTGCATAATCGCTCGCAATGAACTGAACAGGCAGATCTCTTCGAGCCAGTCGGATAGTCTTCAGTATAAATGCGGCCTCACCGCTTTGTCCCTCCTTTTCGAGCGTTTTAAAGGTTGTGCTGAGCGAACTTTGGAGTGTATCGAATGCTTCTCCAATTGCCACCTGAAGGGCTTCACGGAGCAGTCGTGGATCATCGTCGTTCAGCATGGCAGAGACGTCGATATCGAGATCCTCGTCCTCACCTTCATCCAGGACGTCGGACCAACGTACTTGCCGTAGGCCGTCGATAGACTCCCTGGACTCTTCGATAGCAGACAGCCATCCCTGGTATTTCACCAGGACAGCGGATACGTCATCATCACGCCCCAGGAGTCTGTCCGTGACAGCTTGCTTGAATGCAGCAGAGCCATTGGAATAGTCATGGGAAATCAAGTCCTCCGACCAAAGTGTCTGCGAAGCCGCGTGGGCTCTGTCGCCCCAATTCGACACTGCAGAGGCGACACCTTGACCAAATAGGTCCAATGTCTTGGCTTGTTCTGACAGAATACCCCTAAGTCGATCATTGAATACTGACCTAAGTCCTTCCAGAACTTGTAACGATGAATGGGTAGGTGTCGAGCTTCGGGAAGATAGCCACAGCTCCAATGTTTGCTTGCGTAATGAGAGAAGCTTCGAGAAGTCTAGCCAGTCTGTAAGGGTGCCCCGGCATCCATTTAGGAACTTGTCGAAAGCCGGTTTCGACCATTGCTTAATCGTCTTCTCGGCGTCCGCTTTTGATAACTCACTGAGCTTGATCCACGGTGTGAAGTTGTTAACATCTGCAGCAACCCAGCGTCCCAGAACACCGAGGTCTAGGTCGTCCAAACTCCGCACTTCAGGGTCTGTCAGCAGAGGCCGTGCTTTCAGCTTGCTCAGGACATCCGACAACCGGCGAGATAGCAGGATTTTAGAAGTCTGGAGTGTCCGAACATATAGCCGTAAGCTGCTCAGAACATTCTCGCCTGACGGGTCGACAAGCTCCCGCTGGCTTCCAATGCCATCTAGGCGAACCCGGTGAAAGTAGCGGATCGCATCATCCGATGAAGAGCTAGTTGTAAGACAGTATGCTGCCAAAGCCTCAATAATCTCGTCAGCCGTATACTTAGCAGACGCGAGCCGCTTTCCAAGCCTCCTCAATAGACTTCTCTGGAGGGATGCTAATTGATTGCGTAGGTCCTCCACAAAGGGTGGCACCTTCGCCTGCTGGGAGAGGGTCTTATGTAAAAGACGAGAGATGACCATAAGCTTGGCCACAAGCAAGACGGAGCCGCGTCGACGCAGAAGCTTAGAGATCGACGATGCGCAGCGATGAAGTAAAGCCAGTTGCCCTCCGAGCGCTCGTTTCGCGGCATCTATTTCCCATCAGCTGTTGGTTATAGACCCAAGCCACGATCACACTATACCATACCTTCATCATGACTATCCTCCTTTATCTGGTTGTAATGTGTGTACATCTTCTCCATCAGGCGTGGATTGCATCTTCGTCCTATGTCGGCCAGCGTCGAATCCACATCCTCCATTTCGCGATTCATCGACACGATCGTCTCAGCAGTGCCAATGAGTTCTCGGTATCTCGTACTAGATGCGCCAAATTTCATTAGTCCTTCCTATAGTAAATTAGGGTGTCGGCCTTCACATACCCGACAAGAGCCCTGAGCTTCTCCTTATTGCTTGCGATGTCCCGGCGCAGCTCCTGCTCCACGCGGCGCACAGTAGGAATTGGGTAGTGAAATGCATCTTGCCAGGATTTCAATGACTGCGGATCCGGACCATCGGACGCCATGGTGAAGGGAAAGGACGCTGGCGGGACAAGCCAACAATGCAGGGCATCAATGCCAGCCGGAGCACTACCTGGAATGATGCTACGCAACCCGTAATCACTGGATGACGATCCATTGTGCCTGAGGCAGCACGTGGCTTCAATACGGTACGGTCATGGCTGTATCAACCATACTATTTCGGGTAAGTGACTTGAGTCATCCCCAAAAAAAGAAAAAGACCCCGCGGACTTCGCGATCGACGAGATAACTTTTATCTCCATCTTCACCATCACAATCTTCCGAACTTGTGGCGCATACAACCAATATGCCTCATATTGACCCAGAGGCGCCAGCTTCGGCGGCCGAAGCTCCTACTGAGCAATTAACAAGACTACCTTTCCCTCCAGTCACTTATTCTCACATCCTCCACTGCTCTTATCATCACTGGCAGCCTCGGTATGTCCCCAGTATAACCCCTCTCTACACGAACGAAAGCACTAATCAGACTACACCCTCTCAGATACCGCACTCTTGTCCCCAAGTCCCGCGCTATCCGTCTCACTGCGCCCTTCGTTAACTATCTCCGAGCGGACGGTATCGTCCTGCCACCAGAAGCTGCCCCGCCAACAGACGACGACGACCTCGACACATTCTCCGATGATGGCGCAGATGAGGAGCCCGATCCGTCACTAGAATGGCCTGAAATCCACGCCCAAATCAAATCCACAATCACCGAATACGGCGGTAAAGTGACACCGAAGCTGAACTGGAGTGCACCCAAAGATGCGACCTGGATGTCCGCCACCAACGACACGCAATGTCGCACAGCTAACGACATCTACCTCCTCCTAAAGAGCAGTGACTTCATAAGCCATGATCTGGAACACCCATTCGACGACTGCGTTCCTGACACTACCACCACCGATGACTCCTCCTCAACGCCCCCCGAAATCCCCTACTATCTCGTCCTCCGCAAATACGTCAACTTCAACCCATCGCTCGAGTTCCGGTGCTTCGTGCGAAACAGAGTCCTCCTGTGCATGTGCCAACGTGATCAGAACCACTTCGACTTTCTCTTCCCCATGCGGGACTCCCTCCGGTCTCGGATCCAGACGTTCTTCGATGAAAAGCTGAAGGATACGTTCACGGATCCGAACTTTGTGTTTGATGTCTATATCCCGCCGCCGCATGATAGGGTGTGGCTTATCGATATCAACCCATGGGCAGAGAGGACCGATTCGCTGCTATTTAGTTGGATGGAGATTCTGCACATGAAGGATCCCGTGGGTATCCGGGAGGAAGACGACAATGGGGAAGAGCAATTCGTGCGGCTTTCTCTGAATGCCAATGGTGATCTGGAACCAGTTGCTGGTCCAGATGAAGAGTCCGAATCCGAGTCTGAGTCCGCGTCCGAAGACGAGAACGCAGATGATGCGCCGTTGTTCCCGGAGTTCCGGCTCATCAAGCGCGATGACCCGGAGGCGTATGCATTCACGACCCCGCAGTACTCAGCTCACAAGCTGCCGAAGGAGGTGGTCGACGCGTCTATCTCCGGTCCTGGAGGCATGAGCGAGTTCCTAGGAAAGTGGCAGGACATTTTGGCGAAGCAGGCGCAGGAGTCCGACTCGGACAACGAAGCCCAATAGAGGTCCCAACCATACATCGCATGTATACTTAGTTACGAACATACCAAAGAGCGCAGCTCGGCTCAGCATAATAAGGCGGCGTTAGGACTAGCGGGACCACAAAAACCGAATACTAAAAGTGATGCATTAACCTTCACCTCTCTACCATCTATCCCCTATATACTACTACCACTACTATATACCCCCACAACCCAACCCAACCACTCACAACTTATGCTTCTTCTCCCCACTCGCCAACCTCCTAAACTCCTCCTGCGGCACACCACTCAAGAACCTCTCAAGGCCCCCAAAAACCTCCAACCCATTCTGACGATCCAACACCTCCCTCTCAGGCCGTCTAATCAACTCCTTAATCTTCAGCAAACTATCCTGATTCAAATGCAACCCCAACCTCTCCTCGACCTCCTGCAACACCAACCCCAGGAACCCCTCACTATCATCACTCTTCCCACTCGGCGCCGTAAACACCTTATTCACGAACCCCGTAGCCACCAACTCCTCACACGTAATCCGCTTACTCATAATAAGCGCCTCGTTGGCCTTCGCAATGCCCAACCGTTCCACAAACGCCCGCGACGACCCGCCCTCCGCTACAAGACCCAGCGAGGCGAACGGCGTGAGGAGGAAGGTGTGCGGCGCGGCGTAGATGAAGTCCGCGAGGGCGATGAGGGCCGCGGAGAGTCCGACGGCGGGGCCGTTGAGTGCCGCGATGAGGATCTTCGAGTGGTGCGCGAATGTGTGTGTGATGTCGTAGTTGTTTATTACGAAGGATCGGGCAAGGTCTCGTCGTGCGGAGGTGCCGAGGCCCGCGCCGGGGCGGGTGGAGTTTACGTCCGCGCCGCTGGAGATGGAGGCATTAGTTATGTATTGGTATGTGTGGGGGTGTGGAAAGGGAGGGGCAGGCTCACGCGGAGAAGTAACGTCCTGAGCCTGTAAGAATGGTGATGTAGATGTCATCGCGCTTGTCTACTTCGCGGAGACGTTCGCCGAGGAGGTAGTAGAGGTCTGCGTCTAGGGCATTGAGTTTCTTGGGCCGGTTGAGGGTGATTATTGCCAGACGGCCTTGGTATGTGAGTTTGATGGGGTCTTCGGTGGTGGTAGTAGCCATGTTGGAGATCGGGGTGGTTTGTGTGTTGTGCTGTCACAGAGAAGAGAGTGTGTAAATAGTAGTAGATAGGGGTTACGCTAGGTATAGACTTGTTGGATAGTGACTATCGGAGACCCGGAGGGTTTAAACCCGCTTCAAAAGAAAGAAACAAGGAGATGCTGTGTAACCTTCCCAAAATGCACACTTGCAAGGTCAGATGGAAGTATTCGGCGAGTGACAGTTCTAGATAAAAAGCAATTCCAGGAAACCCTCAAGTCTTATTAGCCCCTAGTAATAGAAATAACTAACAGGTGGATTGTACTAACGGGGATCTGCTAACCTCCTCCATCCAACGCCTATGCGGGGAAACCCACGGACCGAGGCTTAGGAGCCTCGGCCCACGGCAGGCCGCGAAGTTGAGTCGAGTCCTGCTGAGTAATATACGTCACCTGACTTGCGCGGCACGTGGAAATTGTTTGCTCAGTTTGCAATGCACGGTCGGCATGGCATGGTCAGAAGCTCCGTGATAATAATCCGTCCGTACTTAGTATCAAAAACGATCAGCCCAGATTAATTTGTTTCGTCGGTGGACGGATCAGGAAAGATCTCGCAATTCTATACCTCGACATTAGCATAGTACTCTTTTTCCCCTCATATACAACCACATCAAGGAGAATCAAAGATCAAAGAAACACACACACACTCACTCACTCACCACCCGTCCATCCATCCATCCCACCAACAGCAACAGCAACAGCCCACCATGTCCTCCATCCTCCGCAGACTCCAGGGGGGCAACCTCGAGGTGTTCAAGGTATGCAAAGCACCAATTTCTCACTCAGTCCATGCCCAGTGGAAGAAGAGGGGCAGCAGGATTCTAACCAATCCGTCCAGTTCGGCATGTACATCATCTTCCCCATCGGATGGATGTATTACTTCGGCACGAACCTCGACGACCGCTTCAGCGTCCCCGGCTTCTGGCCCACCACCGAGCAATCGCACAAAATCCCCCTCGAGAAAGAAGAAATTGATCGCGAATTGTCGCGCATGCGCATGTTGGATGCGGTCAAGCGGGAGAAGCGACAGCAGCGCGCGGCGTTGGAGGCTGAGGCTCAAGCTCAGGAGACATCTGCGAATGCGGAGTAAAAATGGACTACGAGGATTAATTGATTGATGCGGTGCGGTGCGGTGCGGGTGTGGTTGGTATATAAGAGGTTATCGGTGATTGTCTACACAGACTATGGATTTGGGGTGGGATAAGTATCTGTCTGAGCGGGGGGGATACACTGGCGGATCTGTTCGGAGCCGGCATATATGTATACTTTTGTATGTGTACCGCACATTTTCTGTGTGTGTGTATGTGCGACGAAGGTGAAAATGGGGGCTATGTTGCACGGTGTCCTACTCGCGTACCCACGATAGAGGGGACTTTTTCTGGTTTTGTATAACACTCTTCTCTGAGCATGGCGGGAGTTGCTTTTGGTTAATGGGCTTGATGATTGGATTGGGTATATTTGTGTTTATATTATTTTACTTCAACTTATATGTACTTTTATCTGGCGCAATGTCAAAGCAAAAGTTTCTGCTCGGCTGAGCATAATGGTGCAAGAAATCGTGGCATTTCAAAGCATTCGGTGCTACCTCCGGCGTTACTGTCGTGCTCCGTACAGAATTAAAAAGTTATATGTTAGAAAATGTGCAGTCAGTGGATCTCCAGCGTCCAGTCGCGCAAAGTAACACGAGCAACCAAAGTATGTGATCGTAACAATGATTTGCCTCGATACGGTATAAACGATATGCGTGAGGCAGAGTATGAACCATGGGAGGAAACAAAACGAAGATGATGAAACTCCTAGGATGCGCCGGCCCGCTCAGAACAGTATCGCTCAAACTCCATGAAACAACTTCACAACGCTGATAGGAACCGTTCGGTGGAAGAGCAGTGCGGTGAATCGTGAAATGCTGATGCAATCCATGCTCGAGGACAAGAGAGGCATGCGGTCATAGAGAATAATTAGTGGCAGCCAGTATGCGGATACGAATAGCGAAATGCAAGAAAAGTCCCGATGGTATCACAAGGAGAAACAGAGAAGCCAGATGACCCAATCCAGCAGCCCACAATCGTCACCAACACCGAGAATCCAACCCGTATTGCTACTGTAGCGGGGAGATATCACAGTTCGGCGATTGGAGCAGTGGCCGTCGCAGCAGCATTCTTGGCCGTCTCGTACATCACTTCCAAAGTCTGGGTACCGGTCTCCCGGAATACGGAGCTGATCGATGGAAGGCTCGCAGAGATAAACGGACGCTCGCCAGCCCAGTAGTAGTAAAGGTGGCTATAAATGGATCGGATGTGGTCGGGAAGGTAGACATAGATGCCGGTTACGATCATTGAGAGGAGAGTGAGGAGAAGGGAATCTAGAACGTTCCCCGTTAGTACCATGCGGCTTTAATGCAAGAACAATGCAATATCGAAACTTGGGGGGCGGCAATGTCAACCAGATGAACATACTAAAAATGAACTTTTCGGTAGGCGTAAGCATGTACACGGCGAAGGTCACCTCATATTGATATATCTTCAAGCGCACCCAGCGCATAAAGGAGTTCAGGATCCAGAAGAGAGTCATGGTGGGAGGGTGGCGGGTTGTGAAAGGATTGAACGAAAGGGGGACCGGCGGCGAGCCAGGAGCAAGGTCAAAGAAAGTGAAGAAGCGGAGAAAAGAGCGGAATACGAGGGTGATGAGGGGTGGAATTAGCTCCTGCCCCGGAAAGTCCTTAAGAGTATTATCGCAGTCGCCCACTGAGGTTGAAGTAATTTGTCCCGGCGCGCTGGGGAAGGGAGGAGGAAAAGTAGTAGGAAGACGGAGATAATTTTGTTGAAGTTCAACTAGGCTTCCATGGTCTGTCCAGTCGATTTGCTGATGGAGGAAAAGATAAAGTACTAAGCCGGCAGGTCACAGAGGGGAAAAAAGAAAATAAGTAATAGAATAAAAAATAATAATAATACTATCAAAGTGTGGGTTGATCGACAAAGAGCTGATCAATTCCAGTCGGTGAAAGGGACAGAAAGTAAGAGGGAGAAATTTGGCAGGAGGCTGTGATGGTTGAGAGAAAAGTAGAAGAGTAAATTAGCCCCCTCAATGTAAAAGAAGCTCAGATTAAGTCCAGGGGGAACAGGAATGGGGGGAAAAAAGTAGGTAGGATGGCCACCCCAACTAATAATAGCTTCACAGCCGGACGGAACAGATAGTCATATAATTTAAAGTCATGAAGAACGAATACGAATTCAGATAACTAGAGAGTTAGACCGGCGCCCCCGTCAAGTCCATGCTTGCGATCTGGACACTGTTTCAAATCGGCCGCCGAGACCAAGTCAAAATCAAATCCACCGCCACGGGAGAGAAGCAAACCAAAAGGTCCACTTCCCTCTCCCCTCAGGGTCCAGTCGAAGGATTGCAGCGTGCAAAGTTTCAGACTCTCATCCAGTTCACTGGAAACAAATGCTTACCCTGCCTGTCTTTGCCCTTCATGGGGAGGAATTTCCCGCGCGATCTGACACTGATTGGCGTGCGGCGATGGCTTGTCTGTCCGCGCATCCACTGGGCGGCGTACGTCACCCTCTCCGCTTGGCCAATTTTCCCCAGGCCTATCAACTACTTTGTAGATTCAGGGTGAGAAAAAGGTGAGACAAATCCAATCCCAATCCTCCATATTGTTTGGAAACCAGAGAATCAGTTCCGATGGAAGAAGAGGAGAACCGCAGTTGGAGTACGGAGTAGATAGTAGTAAGTAGTAAGTAGTAAGTAGTAAGTAGGGCAACAGAAAAACCAACTAGAAGAGTTATCTGGTGTGGTGCGAGACTAACTGTCTTAGTCACCGACCAGTGAATGGTAAATTATGGTATGGTATTGTAACACGGGTCCAGATCCAGTGATGATTTCTCGCCCATCCCGGCAGGTACTACTAGTAGCACTACTAGTACTTAGCAGCAGCAGCAGCAGCAGCAGCAGCAGCAGCAGCAGCAGCACTTCGTACGTCGCCGCCAATTACACCATGCAGCTTCATGTAATACTAATCAAGCAATAATAGAGTACTCCAGATGGAACCTAGTAATAGGTGCCTCAGATCACCATGTTCCGTCCCCTCCACTTGACCCCCTACATCACACGCCCCTTTCTCATATCCAATTACCTCCCCACCTTCCCAAGGTTCTTCACTCTCTCTGCGCTCTCCCTCTCCGACAAAGCCTTGCCTCCCCGCCTGAAGATCCAAGATGCCGACGTGACCATCTCATACCTTAAGGGCACTGGCCCTGGAGGCCAAAAGATCGTATGCCAACCAGATATTTTCCATCCCCTCCCCCCCACCCCAATTCTCACTCCGTTGGTTAAATTCATTATCTGATACTAACTTTCTTCTTTTCCAATGCCTAGAACAAAACCAACTCTGCCGTCCAGATCATACACAAACCCACGGGTGTAGTGGTCAAGTCTCAAGCCACAAGATCCCGTTCCCAGAATGAAAAGATTGCCCGTCAGCTGCTTGCTGACAAGGTCGAAGAGCTCTTGAATGGGGATCAAAGTCGTGCGGCCATCAAGGCCGACCGCGCCAGGAAGAAGAAGGCCAGTAAAATGAAGAAGAGCCGGCGCAAGTATCGTGAGCTCGAAGATGGCAAGGAGAGTCAAGAGATAGAAGTAGCAGAAGAAGAGAACGATGCACCAGAGCCGGCTGATTCAAAGCATGAATCAAAATTGGAAGGAGCAGACATACAAAGTCCTCACCAGCTGTCCGCTCAACAACAGATTCTACAGCAGAAACATCTCCCAGACATCGAGCGAGGCCCGAGGTAATGTGATCCTCTGCATCGCGTGCGCCGCTATTCTAGCGTTCGCACACGGGATCAAGGCACGCTGTCGCTCTCCCAGCGTAGTTTAACTTAGAAAACGTCAACCACTAGTCACTTCGCAACACAACTACGAGGAAGTCAAGGCATATATCAGTGTCATCTAAATATAATTCAATTCATAAGGACATGCAATGGAGTAGTTGAAGCTAGCCAACACTTTCTCCATGATTTCTTTTTGGCATAATGCAGAGACGGTCGAGTTATCAGACATAGGATTGTTTATACATCCCAGTAAATGGTGCAAATTGCTCCATTAGCCTGCTCATGCGATATAACTAAGTAGCACTGTCTTCGCCTCGGCTCCAAGACGCTCCTGAACAAAGCCAGAAATGCGCCCGTTGTGCTTCTTGTCTGCTTCCTTTAGGTACTTGCCAGTCCAGGCCTTCAGGTCGGCGCCCGTGTCGGGCCAAGGGTCCCTGGTCTGTGGTCGCACAGTGTTCAACGCTGTGAAACCAACACCGAATGCCATATCCTCCACGTCATGCTCGGCGATGATGTCATCCTTGCTGGCAGGGAGAGGAGGCAGCTCAAGAAGCTTGAGAAGAGCCTCACATGTGAAGCCCCATCCCTTCTTGTACCGGCTAGCAAAGGCTTCCGAGTTAGCAAGAGTTTTAGTGAACGATAGCACTGCGGTCTTGCGGTCCAACGGACGAGCGAGCTTTTGTGTTTCAGGAAGGATGATGTTCAGATAGATGGGAGTGAACAGCCTGGAGGCAGTTAGCATGCTAGCTCCCACGGTGAAATTGGATTGTACATACTCGGGCTGGACCTTGTCGATCACTTGGATGACGAAGTCAGCACTGTAGCCCTTGTCATCCTGGGCAGAGACGAAATGATAAAAACGGACGAATCGGAGGGTCAGGTTTTCCGTCTTGGAATTCTGGAGGCGGGTAAGGATAATCTGCATGATGGAAACAAAGTATTGTTCCAGTGTTGCCCTGGAGTATAGTTAGCAAATGATCGTATCAATGATCATACCGGGGCTTCGCGTACGGAGGGAAGTTTGCAACCACGGACTCCAACAGGTCGAATCCATAGCCTTCATTGGTCTTGGTCGAAAGCAACTTCTGGAAGATACCCAGAACAGGAGCAATTTGCTCATTCTGGATGATGTATTGAGATCCGCGGTGGATGATGCTCGACAAAAGTCGCACAAGCGCAGGGATGTTGCCCTTCGACTCCCACATGACAGGCATCAGGATCGGGGCAATCAGGTTCTGGTAGTAATCAGGGAGTGTTCCCGAGGGGTTTGCCTCAAGAAGTGCAGCAAAGAGTTGGAAGATATAAGGCATGAACTCTAATCAAACGTTAGCCACAGCTCATAGTGCCGTTCCTTATGGTTTGCAACTGACCTTGCACATCCCCTGAGAGGATCTCTGCGAAAGGAGCGTAAAGAGCTTGTTCGAGTTTGTCGGGGTTGGCAGGGGCCGCAAACCTAGAATCTATCGGTTAGTGACCGTGTTCGAGCGACTACCGGAGCTCACGTACCGGATAAAAGCTCCAAGGGCTTCAAAGTGGAAATAGTAGAACCTAGGGTTGCTTGGGTTGCTGCTGATGATTTTCGTGATAGTGATCAGGTGCTGAAGGACACTGTCGGTGTGCGGCACAATGCCCTCCTTGATGACGATCAGGACTCTCATCGCACATCTCATCAGGAACTCGTTCTCCTGCACCTTCTGAGGGGCCTGGTCCTTTTGGATCAGTGAGAAGATGTGTTCCAACAAGTCCTTAGACAGCGGTGTAATAGTAGCGGGGGAGATGATCGGTTGGCCTTGGCTGTCGGTAAGGTAGAGGACACGCTCCACGGCGATCGCCGCATAACTGTAAACGACATATTCCGAGGAGCCGAGGTGCTTGACCAACATAGGGAGAACTTCCTGCCACTGCTCCTTGGTGATAATGCTTCGGAAGAGGTAGAGGTACTTGATGGCGTCGACCTTCAGAATGGGATGTACACCCTCATCGTTAATCAAATCAGCCGCAAGGTGCTTCTGGAAGAAATCGGTAATGCTAATGAGTTTGTTCGTAGCAGTCACACCGTGGCTTGACGTAGCAGTTCCCTTCGCTGCAATGGCAGAGAAAAGATAGGTTGCAGTGTCCTTGGCCTTCCAGTTAGTGGCGGGAGCCTTGGCGTATTCAGAAAGGTAGTGCTCAGTGTATCTGAGAACAACGCTCGTAACGGATTCCTCAAATCTCTCGGCAAGCCGTCTCAGGAAGTCGGTTGCAGCACGCCGTCTAGTATCGCTGTCTGAGCCTTCCAGGTCGCGACGAATGAACTCAATCGGCTCATCCTCGAAAAGCTCCTCGTCAGATTCACGCAAACTGACATTGGGGAGAATGACCTTCTCGATGATTTGGCCGAGGGTGCCTTCGGCCTGGAATACAGCCGCATGTTCGGTCATGCCCGCAATCGAAGTCAAGAATTGCAGAGCCCTGCTGACCAAAATGTCGTACTTGGTTTCCTGACCAATAAGTGTCAAGAAGCTCCATGAGCTTTCGACAAATTGTCCAATATGAGGCTTGAACTCATCCATGTACTTTTGCACGTACAGAGTCAAGACTTGGAAAATTCCAGCACGCGCAAATTCCAGCTGTCCTGCCTCGGTATCGTCATCGGTGTGCAGGAGTTGGTTATCGTAGGTCAGATACTTAAGCAAGAGCGAGGCTATCCCTGAAATATTTTCTTCGAACATCGGAGGAAGATCGTGGCAAGAAAGGTCATACATCAATTTGATCATCAAATTGAGTTGCGTGAATCCCTGAACAAGATTGTCTTTGTTGGATTTGTTCTCCTCAAGGTAGGCATCCAGTCCCTATAAGGAAGTCAGTTTGCTGTCAGAAAACCCATTGCCTCGACAACACAAATGGCGCATGATTTTGAGCTCTGAGTAACCCACCTCGAAAAGAGCCAAGAAAGGGCTGCCGAATCTTTCGAGAACATGATTGATTTCCAGGTACAGCTGATCCGACCGGAAAAGGGGTCTCCATCTCTTGAAAATGGAATGTGCGACTTGGAGTACGCCATTGTTGACAGCGGGGTTGTTCGGCTGGAGTCGAGAAACGAGATCCTAGGGACGTCAATTGACCACGCACAAGCCGGGAACATGACACTTCTCTAACTTACATCCACAAGTGTATCCCATCGCTCCCAGAAATCACTGTCGGCGATAACGCTAACAGCTTCTCCCAATTGTGTTTGAATGCCCGTAGGGACGGAGATCATCAGGCTGATCAGCTCCCGCTTGATGGTAGTTACCTCCTCCGCCTGGAGCTTGTAGTTTCCATCTTCATCAGTCCAGTTCCTCTTAATAAAGTTCTTGAAGCATAATGCGCTAGCCAAACGGGTATTGTAAGGGTAGGACGCGGAAGCCGTGATTTGGAGGAGCTGCAGAGAGTAGTTCGGTTTTTTTTCCTCCTGGCGAAGAGCAAGTTCGGCTGGTTTCACAATCAGTTGAGGTTTCTTTGATTAATGCAATGTAAAAAAAATCAAAGCTTCCAAAGGACTCAGAAGTGAGTCTGTGAGGTAAAAGGCAGATAAAAAATCACTGACCTTGCTTGTTCTGCCTGGGATCCAAGCTTGCCTCGAGGAGCTGCGCAACAGCCCCAAGACCATCAGCCATTTTGAAGCGGGGGGATGTAACTAAGAAGCCAAGGGAGCGATATGGGTGATATATGTGGAAAAGTGACACAAATTAGGGGGTAAATGCAGATTGCTGAAGAAGAATGAGGGAAAGAGCTTGCAGAGCTAGAAAGGGTTAATCTAGAGAAAGAACCCAAGGGTATAATAAAGAATGGCTCCAGTAAAAGCCGGGTGGGAGCTCGATTCCTGGACTGGCAGTTTGTTTGGCGGTTGCTTTGCAAAATCCAGGCGGTGAGTGGCGGTCGCGGGGTGATTCTGCCCATCAGGTGACCGGGTGCGGATCAAAGCCTTGCCGACCTCCGCCAGATCATCATCATCGCTGCTCGGAGGGGAAAAGTGGCTTGGCGCACTTTTGCTCTGATTACATCCCCAAAGTATCAACTTAGCTTCCCTGTCTCTTTGTTCACCCCGGCTGTACTTGTTCGGCAACCTTCCTTTGTCTGCCTAAGAGTTTGAATACATGCTTTGACCGATTCCCCGATCCCGGTTGTCCGAGTACTAGTTTCCCACTGATATGCCGCTGGGAGCAGCTCTCCGAGTGTAACATTCGGTAAAAGCCTCATATATACGCCTTCTGCGGATCTGTTCTCGTCCTGATCCATCCATATGACCTGCCAATGGTATGTGAGATTTTGCGTAAAGTGGATCGCCGATGTAGAGCTGGTCAGTTCCAGCTGACCGGTGACCTTCCGTGGCCTCTAGTCACAATCCCGTCGCTGACCGGTCATCGGACAGATATAATAGTCCTCTGCCCTGAAGAACCCCATACGCACCCCCTCGTCCGCTGGGACGCATGTCTTCTGACGATGCTCAATCCCCGTACTATACCAAGCACGCAGCATCAAGTTTTGTCGACGTACTCAAGTCACTAAGCATTTCCCGCCCAAAGTCACCTTCTCCAATTTCGCTCCACGATAGCAGTGATTCCTTATCGCATTCATCGGATGGACGCAGGATCAGTCGGACTGTACTGGGATTTGACTCAATGCATCGCGGTAGCGTCGTATCCAGTTCATCCGACACCTCTGGTGCACGGGATTTCGATACGGCAGTCCGAACATTGGCTCAGAGGCAGTCTCTAGGCCACGCTGTAGAAGAGGCGGAACAAATATCAAAGTCACTCCAGTGGTTCACTCCGGAACAATCGCTTGCTCTTTGGGAAGCAGGGGCGTATCTTTTCCACCATGAAAGCTCACCCGAAGCTCGACGGAGCGGTTCGATGTTGTTGGAAGCCGTTGCCGCACGGCAAGACCTGTCTCCCGCAGCGCGGCGCATCGTCTTCGATTCAATAGCAAAACCATCAGACAATGACGTTGTTCCCGCGCGTGTGCAGTCCTTGATAGCTCTATCGGATCATGGCCGAAAATTAGAGTTTGCGGCCTCGTCCATTCTCCCTGTGATATCGTCTTGCTTGCTTCCATTATACGAATTGGTTTCATCTGCGCGGTTGAAAGCTAGGAAAACCAAAGTTGGCAAAACAAATGGGTTAGGATACGATGGCGC